TAAGAAGATGTAACATTTGTAAGTATATACTCATCAAATAATGGAGCATCAAGATACATGAGTACTAATTATTCATTAAAGAGCAATATTGACACCACCATAATAACAGTGGGGGATTTTAACAGTGGGGGATTTTAATACTCAACAACTATGGACAGGTCAACAAGACAGAACTAAGAAAATAATAGCCTTAAATGATGAACTAGATCAGACAGAATTGTGGTGACTTAAAAAATTAAAAATAGGGCCCTACCTGGTGGCACAGCACTAAGAAGCTAAAGCCACTTCAGTATGAGTTTGATCCCCGCCAGGGAGGTGATCCACCTGGTGTGGCAGACGGCTCCTGACCTGACCACTGCTCCCCTCAGCAGTGTGTTTCAGTCTATCTGTCTGTTCTGCTCTCAACTCAGTCTCTGGCAAAGCCTCTCACTGCCCCTGCACTCTTGGCCTGTACCCCAGTTCTGTATGCATAAATAAATAAATCTTTTTTAAAAAAATTAAAGTGCCATATGATCTAGCAACCTCATGCTGGACATATATCCAGAAGGACTGAAAGCAGGATCTCAAATATATTTGTACACCCATGTTCACAGCAGCACTTCACAACAGCCAAGATAGGGAAGTAACCCAAGTGTCCATCCTGGATGAAAGAGTAAACAAAATGTGGTAAATACATACAATAGAATATTATTATGTGTCATATGGCACAACATGAAAGAACCTAAAGAGTATTAGGTCAAAGGAAATAAAGCAATCACAAAAAGAGGAATACTGTGTGTACTAAGTATTAAGTAACTTAATACTTTTATTAAGTTATCTTTTGTAAAATAGTCAAATTCAGAGACACATAATAGAATAGTGGTGGCCAGTGGCTGGGGTGGGAGGAGATGGAAGTTGTTTAATGAACACAAAGTTTTAGTGTGCAAGAATTCTGGATATGGATTATGGTGATGGTTGAACAACAATGTTAATGTATGTGATGCCACTGTGTCCTAATCTTAAAAATGGTTAAGAGAGCAAATTTGTATGTACTTTATCACAATGATTTTTTAAAAATTAATGCATGTTGTGTCATCATCATCTCCCACCCTCACCCATCCGGATTCTCATTTTTCAATACATAATTCAAATGTCTTCTCTTGGGATTTCCCTTGGCTTACTTCCTCTTGGCTTACTTCCCTTGGCCATGCTCTCCTTTATAGCACTATTATGCCTTACGCATTACAGCTCTAACAAACTTTATAGAGATTACTGGTTTACCAGCGCCTTTCCACTACTAGGTGAACGAATAATTTGGGGGGGCAGTATTTTCAGTGTATCCCTAGGCCGGGGGCGTGGTAATTTGTTAACACTCAAGAAAGGACTGAGCGATTTAAGTACTGACTTTTAAGAAGCTCATAGCAGAGAGTAATATGACCAATAATGGGAGGGGGGAGGAAGGAGGTTAAGGGGTGGCCCAGGCTTTAGAAATCCGAACAGATAGCCAATGAAAACGCCGCAGCGCGCCCCACAAAGCTCCTCTTCCGCAGTGTGACCCCTACGATCCGAGGGCTCCTCCACCAACCCCAGTCACTGTCGGCGAGTTAAACTAGCCCCGCGGCCCAGACATACCTCAGGTAACTGGCAGCCTGCTCTGGGCTTAAGACTTGAGCTTCCGCAAACCCTCCGAACGCCTCCATGAGAGTCGGCTAGGGATCCAAGTACATAAAAGAAAAACTGAATTTCGCTCGCTCCCGCTCGGCGCATGCGCCGAGCTCCTGGAAGCGGGATAGGTCTAACCGTCGGCCTCGCTGCTGGCCAATCCGCGAGCCCAAGCTCGGGCGCCACCATTTGAGTCCCGCCCACAGGGGTCTCGCGCCTGCGCCTGTGCGGGCGGAAGGGAAGACGCGCCCCAGGGCTTGTTTACGTCCAGACGTGTTGCTGACGTTCTCGATTCTGTACAAACCGTACTGCGGCAGATTTCGTATATGTGCGTGTGCTACCCTCACGAGTGGAGTAGACTGCCTGGTTTTATCTCAGTCACTTTAGTGGGCCCTCCACAGCCTGTGCCCCAAAATAGCTTCCCCTTCCGGATTCTGAACAGGCTCAGTATTCAAACACCTACCGAGGTGCAGCCCCAGGTTCTTAATCCCTCTTTGCCTCCCTCTGGCTTTTATCAATGGTATACTGTTATCCCCATGTTTCATACATGAAAACCGAGACCCGGAAAAATAAAGTCACTTTACCCTAAGGTTCCAGAGCTGAGAAAGGGCAGAGCCAGAATTCAATACCAGGCTTGTAGTGGTTACAAAGCTGTGTTCCTACACTGTCATGCTGCCTCTTGCTGGAAGGAGGGAACCTTTAGAAAACGGGGACAGTTGGAGGCTAGTTGGTTGGAGGAGCCTGTTTGCCCTACTGAAGTGCTTGAGTCACTTCTTTCCTGGAGGCAAGTTTGGATGGGAGTTGATCAAACATCCAAGTGCCATGGGTCCCCAAAAGATGAGTGTGGTGAGGTGGGCTGATGGAGATAATGCATAGAAAGGAAAAAAAACAGGACAAAAATCTTCATCTAGAGTCTAGGGAAGGCCATCTCTAACTTGTGCTTTGGTTCAGTGTCCACCATCATCACTTGTATCCCTGGAACTACTGGGAACTCGAGATAAAGCAAAATGGAATCCTGGTTGTATCTATGGTTCTTCCCTTCTGTGGGCTGTGGAGAAAAAAAGAGCTACTGCTTCCCTGTTCCCCATCTGGCAGTGATCCCCCCCCCCCAAAGACCCCAGTCACTGGGAACAAAGAACCAACCCTCCTACTTGCCTGCCCTTAAGTTACTAGATTTTTCTCAATACCATTTTCACAAAGCTGCAAGGGTCCCCCTTCTTTAAAAGGCACCAAGTCTTCCATCTTTGGGTACTCATCCCCCATCCTTTATCCTGCAGTCACTGCTTCCTTCCAGCTTTTCTCAGTGTGTTCTGGAGCCCCAGCACCCACCCCAGGGAGCCAATCACCTAAGAAACTTACCACCCCGGTTTCTAGCACTTCTTTTATTTTTTAATTAATTAATTAATATATATTTTGCATCATTGTTCATTTTTGTACCATGTTATGTTTTCTCCTCTCAGAAGTAGTTCCCTTAAAATTCCCACTACCAATTCACCCGTGCACCATCACTATAGTCCCTTGTGCTCTTCCTTCCCTTGTTTTGCTCTCTCTCCCTCCCCTGCAAAATGTATCTAATTTAAAGTTAGGCAACATTAATAGTTTTGTTTTTCTGGTGTTTTTTTATTTTTCCTGATCCCGTACTTGGTTCCTCTGTATTCCTCCTATTAGTGAAACTATCCGATATTCTTTTTTCCTTCTGACTTATTTCACTGAGCATACTCCCTTCCAACCCTGTCCAATTTGCTGTGAATGGCAGGAACTTATCATTTTTTGATTGCTTAATATTATTCCATTGTGTATATATACCACTTCTTGATCCAGTCATCTGTATTTGAGCATTTGGGTTGTTTCCAAGTCTTACCTATTATGAATAGTGCTGCAATAAACATAAGGGTGCAGATATCCTTTTGAATGAATGGTTTTGTGTCCTTTGGGTAGATCCCTGGAAAAGAATTACTGGGTCATATTGAAGCCCCATTTTTAGTTGTCTGAGGAACCTCCACACAGCTTTCCATAGTGGTTGGTCCAGTTTGCATTCCCACCAGCAGTGTAGTGAAGTTCTTTATCACGGCATCCTTGCCAACATTTGTTGTTGCTAGTTTTTTGTGTTTTTTTTTTTTTAATATGTGCCTTACTCGCTGGTGTGAGATGATATCTCATTGTGGTTTTGATTTGCATTTCCCTGATTACAAGAGATGTTGAACATTTTTTCATATGCCTGTTGGCCATTTGCATTTCCTCTTTGGAGAAGTGTCTTTTAAGCTCTCCTGCCCATTTTGTACTGGATTGTTTACTTTGTTTTTATTGAGCCTAGTCAGTTCTTTGCAGGTCTTTGTAATCAGACCCTTATCAGTTGTGTGGAGTGCAAAATTTTTCTCCCAAATTGTCTTGGCTACTGTCTCTTGCTGTACAGAAGATTTTTAGTTTGGTGTAAGCCCAGCTGTTTATCTTTTCCTTCACTTTCTTTGCTTTAGTGGATGAGTCTTGAAAAATATTGCTGAGATGTATGTCATATGGTGCTTTACCTATATTTTCTTCTTTATATTTTATGGTTTCAGGTCTTATGTTCAATTCTGTTATCCATTTTGAGTTGGTTTTTGTGCATTCTAACCCTCCTTTTAAATAGTCACCCACATTTACAGATCAGGGGGAAAAAACATGGGGAGGAATTAGAGCAGTTAAGTGGCAAGAACAAAAGAGAATCCAAATAATGCTACTCTCTCCCCTTTATGTATCAGGCCCTGTTCAAAGCACTTTACCTGTATTAGCTCTCTTGACTACTCATTTCACACTTAGCCTGAAATGAGGAGTCCCATTTCCCCAGCTTCTCTCAAGGGCTTAAAAAAAACTTCCCTAATTATTGTTAATTTTTGAAGTGTTATAATGATATTGTATTTTTTTAAAGTCCTTATCTGTTAGAGATCCATAATGGAATGTTTTTAAATAAAATAACACCTGTGATTTACATTAAAATACTCCACTAGGAATGAAAATGAGAGAGAAGATAGATGAACATAGATTGGCAAAATGCTGATAATTATTGAAGCTTGTCAGAGGTGCATTATCCTCTTCTATTTCTCTGTATGTTTGAAATTTTCCATAATAAAATTTTTTTTTAGAAAAAACCTTAGCGATCTAATCTGCAAATTACTCTGAGTCACCAGCACTCCCAGACCGGAAATAAGATAATGAGGCCCTGTGAGAGCATTCAGGATGGGTAAATAGAGAGACAGATGAGGCAGAATAGGAACAATAGCTACTACTAATACAGAACTTGAGTACCAGGCTTTTTTCTGCAAGATTTACATACATTCCTTTTTTTAAAATCCTCAATAACCTTGTTAGGTAATATATACTATTATTATCCCCCCTTAATGGGTAAGGAAATGGAGGAATAGACAGATTTAATAACTTGACAGGTTTACACAGCTTGTGAGTGGTAAAGTTGGGTGTCAAACCCAGGCAGTATGGCTTTTGACATTTTGCTCTTAAGCATCATGCTGGTTAAATGTAAAAAGTATCTTATAGTTGAAGAGGATTCATTTATCCATTTACTTAATTATATATTAAAACTATATTGAGCTTTTACAGAATGGCCAAGCAAGGATTCGGGTACTAGGGTACAGTGGTGAGCAAAACATAGGTCTTTTGTTCTCAAGGTGTCCAAAGTTTGATGGGACAGTGTGGACTTGAAATAATAATCATGCAAACATGTGGAAAATTACAAACCATAATGAAGGAAAACCCCAGGGAGTTCTGAGAGCCTAGGAAAAAGTACCTAACCCAGTCCGGTAAGGCTAGGAAAGATTTCTTTGAAGAAGTAGTGTTTGAGTTAAGAGTTAACGGATGAGCAGGAATTTGCTAAAAAAAAAAAAAAAAAAAAAAAAAAAAAAAAAAAAAAGTTGGGGGGGAGTGAAGAACATTTCAGGTTGAGGGAATACCATGACGAAAGACCCCAGGCAGGAGAGAGCTTGGAGCAAAGCCTAGAATGCTAGAGTTGGACCGATTTTTAGGAGTACAGTCCAATGTCACACGAGAGGGAACTGCCACTGGGAAAGAAGCAAGTGACTGGTCCAAGGTTACACCCTGAATCATTGGCAGGATTCAACCTGAATCATTGGCAGGACTCAAACCTAGGTTGCTTGACTCCAAGCCCAGAGCTGTTTCCAACACCGACTCTGGCTTCCTTGCATATGAGAAGGAAGGAGGCCAACTAGGTGTCAGCAGAATGCTGTTTTGGGGACTGAGGATGGGAGAGGATGTTTATGGAGATAGGCATAAATAACCAAATGAAATTATCATGGGCCAGGCGATCAAGAGTGGGTTTGAGGCAGAAAAATGCAGTTTGGAAACATGAAGAATTTGATTCCCAGATACCTAACTGGGCTTTTCTCCACCTATTATCTAGCTAGGGTTTGAAAGTGGGTGGATTTTTTGAGGGGTTGAGGGGCACTGGAACTGAGGTCTTTATCTTCTCTTTTGGGGTGAGAGGAACCTGTCCCAGGGTAAGTAGGAAGGAAGAAGAAAGAAGTAGGTGGAAGACTGTACCCTGAGTCTGCCTCTCCACTGTGAATTGCATCCTGTTCTGCCAGCAGGGGGAGCGAGAAACCCAATTTCTTAAGAATGGCAGCAGTCCTGAGGCTGAGCTGGATCAATTGATATGGGGAACAAGTCAAGTCATTCTAAGTTCTGGAAATGACCGAAACTGAGAGGAAAGAGGGATCCAAAAGCTAGAATTATCTGCAAGGCCTTTGTACTAAATTGCAAGGTCTCTGATGAGAGTCTTATAAACCTACTTTCCAGTGTTTGGGCTGAAGCAGCCACCAAAGGGTAGGGACTCCTTTGACAGGGCAGTGCTGTTGCATAAAACATACCCTCCTTCACTCCCTTTAGGCTACTTCATCCACTCCCAAGACATCACAATTCTGTCTCTATTCAGATCTAAAGATCAAGTGCCTATAGGATATGTCTTCCTGGAAGCTCAAACCTCCCACAGCCCCTTACAAATATTCCCCATCTACATGAACAGCACAACCAA